CTCCTTCTCTTCCACAAAATATAACTAGGACAAACCTAATAACTGAAAATCAACTGAATTCAAGCACTGCTCAATAAAATTATCTCGGGTGCGAATGTTGCTTAAATTATCACCATGAGCAACAAATTCACAAATTACCAAACAACGAAGAAAGATACCCTATAATAGTATCACCACAACAAACTGTTTCTGTAGAAGGTTCTTTGCCATACCCAATACTTCAACCATGCTTAAAGCATATGCTACTAATATCCAACTTCTTCATATCTTTGTGGAGGTCTAATATCTCTAGCAATTGAATATGATGGCAAAGGTGGTGGCGATGACAAAACGACATTATCCATAACTTTTGAACTCGACTAAAATGTATTCTTCAATGTAAACCCCAAATCAAACTCCAATGACACTGTACCAAATCGAGTATCCACCTTTATTAACATTTTAGGATCCCACTTTCACTATTGTACTTGTACCATTTTGAATCAAAAGAATACTTTTGACTCAAAGAAATAATATTTTATCTTTAATTTTGGAACATACCTCTCTTCATCAAGTGTCCTAACTGTCCCATCAAACACCTTATTATGAACCTTCCAATGCCAGCTGTCTTACATGGTTCATTGTTACCCATTATCACAATACATTTGAAATTGTTTCGTATGTTGAAAACAAATCCTAATTGGGGCACTATGAAAAGTGCAAGTTATATCAATAATTCAATTGTTGTCATGTTTGAAGTCGCCATCAGAAATAATATAAAGTTCTCCATTACTATAGCAATTTTCTACAATTTCGGTTTCACCTGAAATTTTTGGTTGTTATCCCTTCTGATATGCAAAAGCAATTTTTATTTATTTTGCAACTTATAGCAATCTTTCTTTATGTGTCTCTTCCTTTTGCAATAGTTACAAATTTTATTATTGAAGTTAGATTTCGAACTGTCCCTCTCATGTTAGATTTCGAACTGCTCCTCTCATGACCACTATGAACAACATGGCCTTCATGTTGAATGTTAGATTCAACAAGATGCTTCATCTTCTCATTTGAAAACAAAACATTATATACTTTTTGTGTGGTCATAATCACTCTTTTTAAAATTTAAAGATAATATGCAAGTATCATAAATTTAATTAAACTGTTCGGGGACGACTGCGGTGCATAAAGAAACATTGTCAATAAGCACATATAGTCAAATTTATTTCATTAACAAAATCAAAAAGTTGATTCGTGTAAATCTAATTCTTTTTTAACTCACCATGAAAGAATGAAGTTTTAACATCGAGTAGTTCCATTTCCCAATTAAAATAAGAAATCAAATTAAACATAACTCTAATGACAGTATCTTTTATAGCTGGAGAAAAAAATATGTTGTAATCGATCCCTTCTTTTTTAGTGAAGCCTTTTGCTATTGGTCTTGCTTTGAATCTTACATTCCTTATCAAGACGTGAAAATTGTAAAACGTGTAGATAATGATCTTAACGATTCCATTGTCATTTTCAATATACTACGATAACAACATTATTCTTGTTAAGGCTCAATACATTTTCAAAAGCTTACTTGACCTATGTACAAACCTAGAATTAAAAATGTTGTAAAGAGAGGTGAGTTCGAAAAGTGATTTAGACAAACGATCTTGATTCATTCAATGATAGTTATTTTCTATAATGAAAATACTTAAAGTGCACAATATCAACTTTTTTACATCATATCAAATTAAAGTACGATGTTAAAATATTATTTATACCAAATAATGTTATCTTGCGAAGTAAAAAATATAAAACGTAATGGTAATAATCAAAATGAGTTTTTTTTTTAAGTACTGCTATAACGATACTAAAGTTGTTACTGCTCAAAATGCTAGCAAAGACTTATTTGATCAATGCATGTACCAATAAACGTAGTGAAGAGACTCAATAAGTTCGAAAAATGAGTTCACAAACCTATAATGGTGAAAGATGCAAACAATCTTGATTCATTTATTGATAGATATTTTCGTATTGTTTAACCACTTAATGTAGATAATATCAATTTTTTCACCGTAACAAATTAATGCATAATCATTAAAAATGTTATTTATTGAAAATGATATTGCCTCGAGACATGAAAGGTGCAAAACGTGCACGTAATGATGGTCGTGGATGACATGTAGCTTTCATTTATTAATGATGGTTTTATGTCCCTAACGAGAGTTTATTCTCATTATCGACACTCAACATAATTTTCCTATTTTCATTGCACATTAAATGCATTCTTGAAATGAAAAAAATAAAATAAAATGTTAAACAATTTCAAAAGGTGCATTCCACCAAGAAGGGTAATTGGCACAAAACGTCCTTACCTTTCAAGTCTATTGTGGAAAACGTCCCTACCTTTCATTTTTTGGCATTTTTGCCCTCATTTCAACCTTTCTTTGCGCTGAACGTCCTTCCGTCCATATTCCGTTAGTTTTTCCGTTAATTAAAGGGTAATTGGCACAAAACGTCCCTACCTTTCAAGTCTATTGTGGAAAACGTCCCTACCTTTCATTTTTTGGCATTTTTGCCCTCATTTCAATCTTTCTTTGCGCTGGACGTCCTTCCGTCCATATTCCGTCAGTTTTTTCGTTAATTAAATACAAAAATACCTTTTCTTTCCATAAACAAGGATAAAATTGTCCTCACCCACTTCACCCCTTTTTCCCGCCATCAACTTAGTCCATAAGTAACAGTAGCAGCGACATGAATCTGAAAATACTTTAAATGATTAAGTTAAATAAAGAAAAAATATCGTGAACACATTATATTTCACAATTCCACAACTACTGTTGCTGTCATCTTGTGTCACTGGAAAATTTTAGAAAGACATATTAAATGGGTAGTCAATTTATAATGAGCCAAAATGGTGAATGTCTCTTTTTGGTTCAATGGAGAAGATGAATGGCTCATTTTAAATTGACTCATTATAAATTGACTACCCATTTAATATGTCTTTCTAAATTTTTCCAGTGACACAAGATGACAGCAACAGTAGTTGTGGAATTGTGAAATATAATGTGTTCACGATATTTTTTCTTTATTTAACTTAATCATTTAAAGTATTTTCAGATTCATGTTGCTGCTACTGTTACTTATGGACTAAGTTGATGGCGGGAAAAAGGGGTAAAGTGGGTGAGGACAATTTTACCCTTATTTATGGAAAGAAAAAGGTATTTTTGTATTTAATTAACGGAAAAATTGATGGAATATGGACGGAAGGACGTCCAGCGCAAAGAAAGGTTGAAATGAGGGCAAAAATGTCAAAAAAATGAAAGGTAGGGACGTTTTGTGCTAATTACCCGAATGTTTAACGGAGAAACTAACGGAATATGGACGGAAGGACGTCCAGCGCAAAGAAAGGTTGAAATGAGGGCAAAAATGCCAAAAAATGAAAGGTAGGGACGTTTTCCACAATAGACTTGAAAGGTAGGGACGTTTTGTGCCAATTACCCCACCAAGAACAATATTCATTCAAGGCCCTACATTCTTTACGATACCATTTCGAAATTAGGGGGCTGTTTGGGCCCTATTTTTTCACCAAAAAAATTGATTTTTTGACCGTTATTTTACTATTCCAACCGTCATATTTGACTTCTTCTCTCACAGGTAGACCCCACTTTTCTCCTAACGATCAAAAAATCAATTCTCAAAATCATTCCCAAACAGGCTCTAGATTCCATTACCTTAATATTATAGCTGTTGGTAGGATTCAAATCAAATCTTCATTTTTTAACATTTTTTCTCTGCAATGTTGTCTTCAGAAAAAAATATATACTAGTTTTGTATTGACAAAATCTCAATGTGGTCCATAGACAAATATTAATCTATTTATTTTTTAGTTAATAACCTCTATACAAAACTAGAGTTTCAGATTTGATTCGATGGTGGCAAGGTAGGGTGAGTGGATCGTGCCATGGTGGGCATGGAGATGTGCGTGGAGGTGGTGATGGTAGCGATGGGGGTTGGGTGAGGAAGAAGGAACATTTTTTTTTTAATTTTTCTATTTTTTTTACCCTTTTCTGTTCTTTATTTTATTTTAAGTCCCCGTTTGGTTTTGATTTTTCACCTTAAAAAAATTAATTTTTTGATCGTTACTTCCTTAAGTCAATCGTCATTTTTTACTTCTTTACTTACAGATAGGACTTACGTTTTTGTATAACTGTCAAAAAATCAAATTTCATAATCATTATCGAACATGCTCTAATTAAGATAATATGCAAATACCTTTTTGCCCTTCTTTAAATTGGTCAAATGAAGGTCTATTATTAAATTTTGATCAATTAATAGATTTTTGGATGAAATCGCTCAAGGGATGTAGAACTCCATTTGGAACTTCGAATGTAGAAATGGAAGTTTTGGAACCCTATAACACTTTTCTGAAAGATTTGATACCCATGATGCAATTTATCCATTTTATAATGTAGAGGAGTCAAGGGACTCGTCTCCATTATTGATCTTCTCAGTATATTTAAAAAAAAAAAAAAACCACATTAATATAAGGTGAAATAATAAGTGAAAAATAAAATTATTCGAGCAAGTAAACTCATTGATTTATCTTGCATGCCTATTTAAAATGACAAGTTATAGTCGAATTCGAACATGTAGAGCATATTTTTGGGTGAAATAACAAAGAGTATTGCTATTTATTTCTCTTAGACATTTTTACCCGTTTACGTAGCAGTGGTGGAGCGTTGAAAATATAGATGCAGATTATTTTTACTCATTTTAAATTATTAGAAAGCAACTTGTTATTGCTTTTATTGTGTTCTTGTTTAGTAAAGATCTTTTGAGAATAAATTTTATAAAAAGTGATTTTTTGAATAATTTATAATTATAAAGTAGAAAAAATTATTAATACACGTTTAATTTTATTTTATTAAAATAATGTATGGTGAAAAAGAAATTTTATAAAATGAGGGCAACCTGGGCTAAATTGGGACCAACGTACAATGTTGCAATCTCCCTTATATATTGCAGCCAAAATAAAATAAGAAAAAATAAACCAACGAAAGAGAGCGAGTAGCTTTACTTGCTGCTATTCTAGGGTTTCAATTCCTTCCAGAATAGCACGAACAATTGAAAATCTCTCTCCATCTAATTATGTATTTTCGTCTTTGATATCTATTGTTTCCTTGGTGCCAAGATTTTTAAATTGAAATTAAATTTCTCTCCTTTTCCGTGAGGAGATCTGATAACGCTTTTTTCCCTAACAAAAACGATGTCGCGTTCCAATAAAAAGATGGAAGAAGAACTGGCGGCTGCTGGGAACAGGCTTCTTCAGCCTCTGGATTCTCTCGATGAACTCCTGCCTTTGCTTGACGTGAGCCCTAACAAATATCTTTTCGATTCGTGGATCCGCACAAGTGCTTGATTCCTATTAAAGAAATTAGTTTCTTGGATTAATTATTACTCTTACAATGTTGTTATGCTTAATTTCTTGTTCTCATTTAATAATTCCAACATAAATCTTACTTTTACAGGAATTCATTCTTACCAATTGCTTCTTTATTGTCAAGCATTTAGTCTGCTCTCCCAGTCACCATTTGTTTGTTGTTGTAGTACAGTTAATATTTTTGTCAGAAGAGTTCGAGGAATCTGCTTCTGATATGAAACCCAATCAATGCTTCCAACTGAATCATTTGTCGAAAAAGTGAAGTGCCTATAATATCACGGCTTGGTTGAGAAATAGGAGTGAAAATGAACTTGATCTATTAAGTTTGTTTGTCTGTAATTCTGGGACCTTGCAAACTTTGGGATGTGTAAAAACTTGTGACTTGCATTTATCATCAATTTTCTGAATAAGTCTGTTGTCCTGTTTTACGTGTGTGCATGTGTTTTATTTTGCAAATTGTTATATCTGTCCGTAATTTTTTCAAAGTGGAAGAAAATGTGGTCAAATTGTTATCTTCTAGTCTATTTTCTGGTTGACATCTTCCCATAATCCTCTCTCTTTTTCTGCTTCAAGCAAACTGAGGTTAATCTCTCGAAAGTGGAGCAGTCACCTTCCAGATCCATGCAAACTGCTCTTTCTCCACTCATGAAGGCATTGGTTGCGGATGAGCTTTTGAAGCATTCAGATATTGATGTGAAAGTTGCTGTAGCATCTTGTATAAATGAAATAACCAGAATTACTGCACCAGAAGCTCCATATGATGATGAGAAAATGAAGGTGCCAGCATTTTCATTTGCATTCTCTTTTTAGCCTCTTGATGGCTGCCTACATAACAATTCATTTGGCTATAATACAGGATATCTTTCAATTGATTGTATCATCCTTTGAGCATTTATACGACAAATCCAGCAGATCATATGCTAAGAGGGCCATGATACTGGAAACTGTTTCCAAAGTGAGGTCGTGTGTCATCATGCTGGATTTAGAATGTGATCAAATGATAACTGAGATGTTCCAGCATTTCTTGAAAGCCATAAGGTAAGAATTTTTATGAGATTCTGCCTAGTAGTTACAAACCCAACGCAGTTTTTGTTGCCACTATAATGTCCTTATTTTTCTATGTTTGCTATTATATTATCAAAGCTTACACTGATTTGGAGTCTATATTTTTCTCTTTCATTTTATGAGCGTTATCTGGCTCCAAGTTTTTTAATACCATGCTATCTCCCAATTAAAGAACATTACAAGTTTTGCTATTTCCTATCAAAAGTTGATCTAGATGGAGATATTATTATTTTTATTTTATTTTTTTATTTACTTGAATTTTTTTTTTTTTTTTTGGAGAAACTGCATTCTTTAGTCTTAGGCATCTGGGTCATATCTTGACATTTATTTTCCCATCTTTGATCATTTATTGCCAAAAATTTTTGAGGCACGAGCGACGTTTGGTCTAGCGCTCAGATGTTATGAAATCCTATGACAAATGGAATGATGCAGAACTTAGCTATGTTACTTTGTAGCAAAACTTACTCCCCTTATTGGCTGGCTGTATGTGCTTTAATTATGACAACGCTTTTGCTAAATATTCACTTAGAATTTGTTAATACACTTGGATTATTCTTGTTTTCTAGGGGGGGGGGGGGGGGGGGGGGACGTCTTGTCCTGCACAGGCATCTAACTTGTAAGTAAGAGAGATAACATAATCACTATTTATTATGCTAACTTTATGTTAAAAAATTGGACGTGGGAAAGCTTATAATGTATGCCTTCTCGTTTTTTGCATTACCAGAGGAAGAGAAAATTGATACATTTGATAGGAAATCTCGTATAAACAAAATTTGACGATTTCTCATTTTTTATTCATGAAAGTAGAGGATGATTGCGATCCAAAATATGCGCTGAACGCCTATTTTCTAAGTAAGGACAATGAAGAATACATTCTGAAGAAATAAGGAAAATCTATGGCAATACGAGAAACAGAATCCATGTGATTAGTAGTTTTAGCTCTATCTCTGTGAGTGCCATGTAGTAGAGATTTTGAAATTTGTTATGTAGATACTAGGAACTAGGAAGTACAAACACTTTTCTGGTGCTGTTGAGTCAGTTTTCGACACGTATTGGACACCGACATACCTTGCCAAGTGTCGAAAATGCATTGCGGTGTGTCAAAATTTACTGTCTGATTTTATACTGCCAGATGTGTTGCCGGATATGCCGTGAGCTTTTGAAATCAATTGGAAAAAAAATGGATAACTACCTGTTTTTCAGCTCGCGGCAGATATGGGCTGCTAATCCATTGCCGGCACATGAGGGATGGCAAGAGGGGTTCTAAACCCTAGAAGAGGAAAACACTCTTTCCTTTTTTAACTTGCCGGTCAAGTCCTTTTTTTTTTTAAAAAGCGGTTTTACATATTAAATGCATTTGACCCATGAATAAAGCAATTTACCCTTTTAGCCGATGAATAAAACAATGGACCAATAAACCCATCAGCCTTTCAAAACTTCACCTTTTTAAGCAATAAATTACCATTTAATCCCTATCTTCCCAACAACAATTGTTCAGTCTAGCTGATTGATCTGAAAACGCCCTCATCTCATTTTTTTATTCAATTAGATCAAAGAAAATGATGAAAATTTTACCATGCATCAGTTCTTGTGGCCATCTCATGGTGAATAATTTAAACTTTATGCCGTTTAAACTTTAAATCACAGTTTAAAAATGTGAATTGTACGTATTTAGGTGGAGCTGTATATGGTTTACTGCCTTGAGCTTTTTAGCTTTCCCCCCAATTTAAATTGGCCTGGATTTACTATTGTTTGTTTGACTATAATATTGGTTTTAAACTTGCATTAAGGTTTTCTGATTTTTATGGAAGTGTTCTTATGCAACTAACTAACAAACTTCTTATTTGAAAGCATATATTAATTTTATTTTGTGATTCTCAGTCACTCATCGTATGTTGAAAGAGATGGGGGTGTTCTCTAACAACTGCTGACATATTGTTTTTATGAAACTTTCAGAGATTATCATCCAGAAAATATTTTCTCTTCAATGGAGTCCATTATGACACTCATATTAGAAGAAAGTGAAGATATCTCTCCAGAACTGCTTACCGTCCTTTTGGCCAGCGTGAAAAGGAACAGCAAGGTCAAGTTTCCAGATGTTTACTACTTTTTGTCTTTTCTATTTTGCAAATTTCTGATGAACATTATGCTTCCAGGAGCTTCTGCCAGTTGCAATGAAATTGGGGGAGAGAGTATTTGATAAGTGTGCGGTCAAGCTTAAACCTTACCTCACACGAACTGTAAAGTCTTTGGGGATTTCTTTGGATGACTATAGTGAGGTCGTCGCTTCTATCTGCAAAGAAACAGACGGTCCTGTTGGTCATAAAAGAGACAGTACCCACAGCGACCAGTTGGTATGTTCCTTATACTTGCAATCAATTGTTACTTCTTTTGTGGATATTCTTCGTATATTTTGTTGTCCTTTGACAAATCAGGAATTACTTGCCTCACTATGCTTCTGATTACGAGCAATTTTAAGCTCCTGTATTTATTGTTAGCATGAGTACATATGCTTGTTTTAAATTTCCCACTCCAGTTTCAATCTGTTTTTCTTCTTTACAATATTGCAGGCCTTGTGCTTTCTATTCCTTCCTTTTCTGAGTTCCTTTTACAAATTCTCTAGATTGCTTTATTTATTTTTAATTGTAATAGAAGTCATTACAGTATATTTCTGCACCGTAATGCTACAACAATTGTGGTGCATTTGCTTCTGCGCTGAAAAGAATGAAATTTGTGTGGCGGTTGAATTTGATTTGTTCGGCATATGCTTTAGATTCTTACTACCTAAATTAATGTTGTTTTGCAATAAATCTCATTGATTCTTTTAATTTATAATTGGCATCATCTTTTGCCATTTGAATTCAAACTTCTAGTATTTTGTCCTGATTTTTTAAGTTGATGATACAAGGTTATTGAGAGGACTTCTGCTAGTGACTCTTCAGATCGAGTTTTGGCAACCCAGGCAAGTTACCGAATTATTTTATTCCTTTTCAAATTGCTATAATTCTGATCCCTTTTATTGTAGCTATGATGCCCATCTGCCAAATTTGTGAATTACGTTTTTTTTTTCCGCGATTTCCTTGTTTTTAGCCTTATTTTTCGTTGTTGTGATCGGTAGTGTGTCATATTTCCTTCATCTTAGTAATAATCACTTTATCACTTGAATTATAATCCGAACTTCTAGTAATTTTCCCTGACTTAATAAGTTGGTGATACAAGGTTACTGATAGGAAGTCTGTTAGTTACTCTCCAGATCGGGCTGTGGCAAATCAGCCAAGTTACTGAATTATTTTATTCCTTTTCAAATTGCTAAAACTTCTGCTCACTTTTGTTGGGCTACAACGTCCATCTGCCAAATTTGTGAAAAAAAAAAAAAAAAACTGTGAATTACATTGTTTTGGTGATTTCCTTGTTGTTAGCCTTCTTTTTCGCCGTTGTATTATGTGCGTATGTCATACTCCATTTCAGTAGTAATTACTTTTCAGGAGTTTAAATTTTATGCGAAGTATATACGAATGACTTTTAAACTTCACCTTCCACATTACTTTTGTCTTATGTTATTAAATTTTATCCTCAATCCTGAAGATCCATGGTGAAATTATTATGATGAATGTTGGTTGTAAAGGACCCTAAGCTACTTCAATCTCTTTTCTGTGCCCATGCTTTATCCCTGCCATCTTATCTTGAAAAAATTAATGCGATAATTTTTGAGAAACCATAAGCGTGGGACAAAAAGAAAAAGAAAAATGGCCCTATTTAAGCGACAGTTCAACTCTTTTCCCACGATAGTCCCTCCCTGGTTTACTATTGCCCATATTATTGTTGATCCCTCTCCTAATGAAATCTGACTCTGTAAGCCATGCGCAGTCGAATTCTGCTTTGTCCATACATATGCTATATATCACTACCCACCATTACCAGCCCCTTGCTGCATTTTCTCTCTGAAAATGTCTTACCACCTGAACCATTGCAGCCAAGCACTCATCTTAGACCCAAGAGACATCAGTAATTTAATCCACAGCCTCAAAAGATCCCAACAACTATGTCACTGTAACAAAATGAACTAAGCTCGTATTTGAAGGGGGACTAATGTTCCAATCCTCTGCTTGTATGGTTCTCCTATTATTATACTCTCGTCTTTTGCTCCCCCGAAATGCCGTTAAATTCTATACTAGACGAGACAGTAGGGATAATATATACCTAAAAGTTTGGTAAATTGCTTAGATATGCGAACTGAGTATTATTGATGGATAGATTTGAAAAATGTGTTGGCTTTGTCTGAACAGGTGGCTAAAGATTTTACAGAAGAGACAAGTTTTGAAGAAAAAAATCCCAATGCAAAAAGTTCACCCAAGGCAATTGTGAGTAATGGTGCTGATGAGACTGGAAATGGAGGAATTGTGACTGATGCAGATTTCAAGAAGGAAGAAGCCCTTGATGATAAATTGACATCCAAGACTGAGTCTGATGATTTGGCCGCTCAAAAACCAATTAGTTCAGAGCCTAAGCCTGAGAAAGCTTCTAATGAAATAGGAAGGGAACCTAACTCTTCAAATAATGAGATAGAGACTTCTAATATTGTTGATGGTGAAAAAGAAATGGAGCAAGTGCCGGATCAGCGAGACAGTGAGGGCAAAATTATTCATGTTTCCCCTGCTGAAGAGGCATCAGTTGAGACAGAAAAATATTTGGACAAAGTAAAAGAGATCCAGAATAATCTTTCTCCAACAAATCCATCTGACAGAGAGGCTCAAAATGTTGTGTCTCCATCCCCAACTGGAAGTCTCCTTGACAAGAGTCGTCCTATGAATGGTCGGAAAAAAAGGAAAGAAAGGTTGATTAAAGAAAAGAGAGTTTCTGACGATGCTGCTTCTGAGAAGGCATTTGATGGGGCAAGTGACTCAGAAGCGAAGAAGAGGAGGCGCTTAGGAAGAAAAGAACCTGCTGATATTTCTAATGAGAACGAAGTATTGGCTGAGGAAGATGCAAGCAAAGATGGTGGCGGCCCGAGTCAATCAGAGGAAAAATTGCCAAATGAGACAGATAAACCAGTGGGTTCCAATAAAAGAAAGAAGGATGGTTCCTCATCAAAGAGGGAAAATGGCATTAAGCGTGGGCGTGTAAAAGCTTTAGTAGAGAAAGATATATTGAAATCTTCTGCAAAGGATGACACCAGAGTAAATCAGATTTTCTCTCAAATATTTTCTTAGTTCTCTGTTTCTTCTCCTGATTCCTGTGGTAGTTCATCTAACTGTTTTCTTTTTCGTCTTTTCCAAAGCCTGCGGTTGCTTCACTGAGGTCTCCTAGAAAATCAAATAAAGATGAAGGCAACCAGGAAGAAACTCCGAGGATGAGTGGCAAGAGGAAGGGTACTCCAAGCACTGACAAAGTAAGTACTTGCAATTTATTTGATACAACTCAAATTTTATCAAATGCCAGGCATCCCCTTACATTTCTGTTTGATTGATGATTGGTTTCATTTGCAGTTATTTATTTCTAGTATTTAGCACTTAGTACCACACCTTTCATACCACGCATAGATTAAAATACTTCAAATTGTACAGTTATCTATTACATCTTTTCCCATATGCTTTTTATTTCCACAAAGGTAACAGTCATTTGTGTAGCTTTGATTTTGAATTTTTGCATGTGAAAATCTTTTGTATGAGGATTGGGTATTTTTAATATCAAGATAACTTTGGGTTGTACTTCCCACTACTAGTGCCATAGCCCCCGTTTGAGTCCCATTAAATTCATAATACATTTCTCTCTCTCCTTTTTAATCACACATTCTCCAATAAAATAATATTACACAAACCAAAAAGTTTTTTTTTTTTTTTTTTCAACCACACATTCTCAAAAAACACTATTTGAAAAATTACAATATCAAATAATGAGGGTCAAACTGGGGCGTAATAAAGGTATTAATGTTCCAACAACTACATATAGTAGAAATAAAAACAATCGACATGAAGTTCGTAAAAATTTTCTGACATTGTTTCGATTTTTCTGATAAATATATATATATTTTTTTCAAATTTTATATTTCCAAATTATGGAATAAGACTTCCCAAGTTTATGATGTGTCACTTCCTATGAGTGTCAGATACAAAAAAGTATAGGCCATCCCACATGGCATGTAGGACACTGGGCTAGTCCTATAGGTGTTGGACACTGGCGCCGATACTCCACCACAATGTCTGTGCTTGGCGAATATGTCATTGATAGTTGTATTTGAACTTTCCTTGGAAGTACATGAAATCATATTCCGCTAATTCGCTCCCATGTTCTCTTTGTGCTTTGCTCTCTTTATTCATGTGTTTGGGGGCTTTTATTTTTGTTGAGAATGGTCACGTGGTTGTGGTCTGGCAGGGGCTCAACATTGCCAGGCGTTTTAATTTGATTGTTTCAAATGGACGATTTATTCTTGACTCTCTTAGAGAAACACGCCATCTGAGGACTTAGAAAGCAAATTGTCATGCATTTTGCATGTCATGACCCGATATTTTGATTCCTTTCATTATATTCTCTAAATTAATTTGTTGCTTTGTGTCAGGCATCTGGGACTATCGAGTATGGTGAGAATTTGGTTGGTTCAAAAGTTAAAGTTTGGTGGCCAAAAGATCGCACGTAAGTGCTTTTATTACATTTTATGTTGTATAAAGTAATTAATAATGGGAGGTTCTCTCAATTTATCAGAACATGCACGTGTTAATCTGTCTTAAAAATGCCTTTTTCCAGCTTTTCACCCGTCTCCTAGGCTTTCTTTAGGTTATTTTGTCTACAATTTGCCTAATAGTAGAGGAAGATGAATGTTCTCCTCTTGTGATTGGTAATGATGCTTTATTAATTTCAGGTTTTATGAAGGTGTTGTTGGTTCTTTTGATTCTGTCAAAAAGAAGCACAAGGTCAGTTGTAATATTAAGGTTCTGCATTTTAACAGCTTTTATATGTTTTACATGTGAAATTTGTTCTTATTAAATTGTTGCTTTCATTTTATGCAGATATTGTACAAGGATGGAGATGAAGAGATATTAAATCTTAAAAATGAAAAGTGGGAATTTGTTGAAGGTGGCTCGGTGTTGGATGCGGTGAGTACCTTTTTTATTTTATTACAGTACCTCGTGCTTCTCCATTATCTATATCTTTCCCATCAATGTCTTGGCAGGGGCAACCAGTTGAATGTGCAAGTACGGATACTCCATCTGAAATGTAAGTGTTGTGTCCCTTCAGCCACTTTCTTTAATGATATTTTATTCTCAAGAACTTCATAATGTGGCTTAATGGTAATTTAAATTTTATACATTTGAAAATAAGTCTTGACTTGGTCTAAGCCCTTGTTTGAGCCCCATTTTGGGGAAAAATGTGGTTTTGAATAGGAATTTTTTTTTTGGAGAATGTGTGGTTAAAAAATAAGATAAAGTTTTCGATTTACATGTAAAATTATTTTATTGGAGAATGTGTGGTTGAAAATGAGTGATCAAACAAGGGCTAAAAGTAATATCATCATATAAATACCTAGTTTGTTTGATTATGGACATGACCGATTGCTTAAATATTTAGACAGAGTTGAGTTGATTGTAATTCAATTTCTTTTAAATTTGTAAAGTTACAATAGTTAGTTGAGATTACCTGTGTACTCTTAGGAGCTGAGTGGCCTCAAATAGCTCTCCTCCCTCATCCCTTTCCTGTACTCTGTCCCCGTGCATAAATGAACTATTAACTAGTTACTTTAAGCACATACGAAGAATTTGTTTTGAACACACACAGAGGTCAATCCATGCTAAGTCAAATTTATGTCTGTAACACATCACTAATTACTTGAATATCACTTCAAACATGATTATTACAATTATATGATGTTAGTTTGTGAATAGAACTTCTGAATCCAATAAGCCCCAGCATATATATGTAGCATGATTATAGTGGAAAGCAGAAGTTAAGGTGTTTTGGTTTCCCCATTTATAAATTATCTTCCTGGAGAAAAATGAGAAGTGAAATGACAGTTCAGTTGGAAGGTTGCAATTACTTTGATTTCAGTGATTGATATTCTGCTTTTCTTCTATCAGGAAAACAAAGAAAGCTAAAACAAATCCTGAGGCATCAAGTAATGATGGAAAGACGAAGACTTCAAGTAAAAGGTTTTTTTCTAGTCAATTTTTCATTGTTTGTGCTCTCTGTTGAAGTGCAATGGTGTTAATCAAAATGGTCGGCTAATGTATCTGCATCCTCCAGTAAACTGAAAAACACTGCAACAAGATCTGGTAAATCTAAGCAGGATGCCAAAGCTGACCCTAAGTCCGATGATGACACCTCAATTTCTGGTGGTAAATCTCATGAGGATCCCCGGAAAGCATCAGGCAAATCTAATGACGTTGATGTGGTGAAGACTTCTGGTGATTCTAAGCAGGACACACACAAGACTCCCAAGACTAAAGAGAAAAGCCCTCGAAGTTCCCATACAGTTGGTGCTACTGGTAAGCGCAAGACAAAATTGCAAACTGATCATGTAAAGGAGAAAACAAACGATTCTGGGAAAAGGTCAGAGATCAAGAAGGGAAAATTGCAAGATACATCTGCACCCTTAGAAAGTGGGAAGAAGCGTCGAAGAGGAGCATCAACTTGATGACCATCATTGTCTACTGTATAATCTAGACCATCTTTGTAGTTTTCTAAGGGGTGGATGTTAAATTAGGTGTGCATTTCACAATTTGCAACTAAAGTATTTTATTTTTGTTCTCTCAGTTTATGAAGCAGGCTTCAGTTGGTATTGTAGTTATGTTTGGTAGATAGAGTTTATGCTGATAAATACTCACATTTCGTTTGTAGGATGTAAAGTGTTGATGGGAAAATTACATTTAGGTTTCCCAAATATTGTTTAAATTGCATGAATGAGCGTCAATCTACTCCAAATAAACAACCCATCGATATTTTAAGTTCTAAAGTCAAAGATAAGCATCAATATTCGATTAGACGATCAGTTATTCCCCTCGTACAAGGGGTTTTTTGCCAGGCAGTGCATAGGTTGTGTTAGCAGCACTCGATAGGCAGCTTTTCCCTTTTCCTTTTAGCCAATTGCCAATAAAAAATTGACAAGTGTCTCCTGGCCAAATCCTCTTGTAGCTCTCATATTCGATTTATGTTTTACATAATAAATTTGGGGAAGTACTACATGTATATAATTGTTTATATAATGGTGTCAATAATTACTCATGGTATTGGATCCAACATTTAATTCAAATTTCACACTTGTACATCAACAATCGGATGATTATCACATCACATTATGGATACTATTATATGCAATAATTATGTACAAGTAGAATTTTTCGTCAAACGATTAGTGCTATTTCTTAAATTTGTTATGACATCTTTAAGAAACTCTTTATTTATATATAGAAAGTATTTTTAAACTTAGCGAGTAAATATTTTTATAGGTTTCAATAGTGCTATTTATTGTCTCTTCAATTTTTTTTAAATAAGTATTTATTGATTTCCCTTCATATTTTATTTTACAATTTTTTATATACCAATAATCAGTCAATTTGAATATTATTTTAATAATTTAAGAAGTAGAATATTCAATGTTGAGATATGTAGTTTATTATGTAATTTTTATAAACTAAGAATAGAGTAAGTTTGACTATTCAAATTTGAAGAATAAACCCATAATCTATTTTCTTGATACTTAGTTTTGAATCTCTTTAAAATATGTATTTAGAGAATTTCTTACAGATGGATTTTTTTTTTTTTTTTTAAGTCCTATTCTCTTCTAATTAATCCTATTTGGATTAATTTCTCAATAATCAAAGCAAACTTATTTTTTCAATGGTTCAAATTTCACAAGTAATTTACCGATTCAAGTACTAGTAGATTCTTCATTTAGCCCCTAGTTGACCTATTTTCTAAATCTTATATTTTCAAACTTATTTTCTTTCTGATTCATTTGTAACTAGATATTCTTATAAAAAGATAATTTTGTACTCAAACCCATAATTTTTCTCTACTTTTAATTATATATTATTCGAAAAAGAAATCATTTTTCTCAAAATTATCCTCAAAAAATCTCTAACAATCATGGATATATTGTCCGAATTAATCATTATTCAAGCATAATCCTTGAATTGGTGGAATCTAGATTGTAGTGGACAATAAATAAAAGGTCCACTGCCAATTCATCATTATTAAAACTTTATCCTTGAATTGGTGGAATCCAAATATTAGATTCAGCTTAATTTATTTTTCCCCTACTTATGTCAACCGATTGCCCTATCCGAAAGCACACTATAGAGTGATGGTAGCACTTCAACCGAATTTAGATGTCTATTGTGTTCCAATTCTTACTTTGAATCTTATTTTTATTGGTCAGTTGTGTGATTCTCGATGCTTAATTTAGTTTTCTTCTACTACTTATTATGTGTAGGATCATCGATCTCAGAAGCTGATTGTGATATGCTATAAAAAATGAGGGTTATATGTTATGGCCTGTGTAAGACCATCACATATTGCACCATCTATTGATGATATCATCTTTCTCTTTGAATTCCTCTTCTTCTAGTTTTTATTTGCGGCGTTCTCAAATTGGACATGTTTTTGCTAGTCGTTTAAAATTTAGTTTCTAAAGGTCAATTGGGAGATTTGCATACTCATGATATTTTTGATTGTAGTGGTTGTAAGTTAGGTAAATTTTCTTCTTTACATTTTCCTAGAAGTATTTTTCATTTTGTTGCACCATTTGATTTTGCTCATTCTAATGTGTATGGACCTGCTCATATTGCAACAAAATGATGGTCTAGATATTATATGTCTTTTATTGATGACTATAGTCGTTATTATTAGCTCTTTTAGAACATATTAAAGTAGGTTGGAGTTTTGACTTGCTTTCTATTTATCGTTCTTTTAGAACATTACTGAAACTCAAACAAGCACTTCGTACTATTTTGAGAAAATTTCCACTATTGTTGCTTTTCTTTGTTTTACATCCAATTATCGTGACTTCACCTTATTTTTTAATTGTACTTTAACTGGTCGCATTCTACTTTTACTGTATGTAGAAAATATGATTATTATTGTTGATGGGATTGCTAATTTGAAATCAGAATTAGCTTGTCATTTTGAAATGAAGGTCCTAAGTACTTTATCTTAATTTTTGGGGGATCGAAATTGTTTCTTCTCCTAAGGGTTATCTTCTCTCTTAATCTAAGTATACTATGGATATTATTGAGTATGCTATTCTTATTAATACAAAAACTGCGGATATTCATCTTGAGTCCAATGCACGTTATTCACCCTCTGATGGTGTACCCTTGATTAATCTCACTTTGCATCGCACCATTGTTGGATGTCTAGTTTATCTCATTATCACATGTCCTGATATTGTTTATGCTATTCATATTGTTAGTCATTATGTTTTAGCTCCTACAGTTCACTAACAACTGTTGTTCGTATTTTGCGCTATGTTTTTGGTACTTACTTTTAGAGTCTTTTCTTTTCTTTGAACTCCTCTTTATTGCTTCACGCCTACTCTGATGCTGATTGGGCCAGTAACACCATCAATCATAAGTCCACTACTGATTTTTGCATATTTTTTTTAGTAATTCCCTTATTTCTTAGAAGAGTAAGAAATAAATTGTTTTTTTTTTCGTTCTTCTACTGAGGTAGAGTATCGTGCTATAGCTTTTACCACTGCTGAGATTGTATGTTTTGTTGGTTACTTGCAGACATAGGGTGTTCTTTTCATCCTTTCCAACTCCTATGTATTGTGATAATAAAGCGCTATTCAGATCTCTCATAACTACATGTTCCATGAGCGCACGAAACATATTAAAATTGACTATCATCTAATTCACCATCATTTGCAGACTGTCACTATTACCCTACCTTTTGTTTCTCTATCATTGCGGCTTGTTGACTTCTCCACAAAGTCTAATCCAGTTCATCGTTTTCGATGTTGCTTGAAAAAACTCTCGCTACTTGTTGTAGCATCATGAGTTGAGGGGAGATGCTAGCATAATTAGTATCATAATAATATTACATAATATTATTATTATCAGCTATATTATTTAGTTTCCTTAATTTGTAGGGTTTTCTTGTAATATATTAACTTATGTTGTTCCATTATTTACCCTAATTTTGGTACCTTATAAAAATTCTTTTGTTCTTCTCCTTCGCTTTGCTTCTCTTCTCTCTATGTTTGATTTATGAGCATTATGTTGATTTATGTTATTACCATATTTATTATAAATTGTGGTGTTAATATATTTAGCCTAAGGTATAATGACTATATAGTCGAGAAATTTACTAAATACTCCATATATTTAGGATATATTTACAATTGGAATACTTGCAAATTTATATTTTGCATACAATGTTTCATGGTTCTAAAACGCGTGAAAATGTACAATCTAGGTGTTTCGCGCGGGTAGTCGCTAACAATTAAAAAGGGATCAGACGATTGTGTAAGGAACAAATCTCTTGAGACAAAGTCCCAAAAAAGAGGTGTTTTATTGGCGATGATTTTACAATTGAAATTAAACAGAATGCCTCCAAGGGGCGCAAGCACACGAGTACTGAAAAGAAATGTTTAAGTCTAAACTAAGAAATTGAAATTACATATTCTCTATTTGAGAGTGTTTGATTCGGGGTTCCTTTTTGCTCTATGTCTTCTCTTCCTTTTATATTTCCTTGATGATTTCTTCGTGATCAACCGCTTAGAAACTGCTTGATTGCTTTATAACTACCCACTTTCTTTATGGTGTCTAACGTGTTGTGGAACTGCTGCCACTACTCTTTATCGTTCAACCGTCTTCAACTGAACTCCTTGAATTGTGGATCGTGATAAGGTTACTCGATAACTACTTCAATAACTGCACTTTTGGATAACCATGACATCTTATGTTTGCTAAGATCCTGGGCGATTCGAAGGTTTGGGCGAGAACAGGGTCATAGCTCTGGGCGACTGTAAGGCACTTCATTCGCTCAGATCTTGGGCGTCTTGTAAGCTTGGGCGATGATGTTACCGTGTTCGTGGGCTTCCACTGCATTCATTAGTAACCCTATTTGGGCCTTTATCTTGAATTTCCCAGTTAGGCTTCATTCTTTGGGCTATTTGATTTGGGCTGCACTTTTAGTGTGTCAACAATTACCTCCCCAATATGGCAGAATTAATACCAATTATTAATCTTTGCTATATTTACTTTGTGTTTCCCAGCAACATTTGAAATTCCCAAAAATTTCAATCATTATTTCCTTCTATAGCCTGAAAAAGTGCGACGTTACAAATCCTTATAAACCCCAAAGACACGCCATTTCGTTGTACCACTAACTCACGTATCATTATTTCGCGCTTTTTCTCGTCATACCACTGTTCATCTTCTTGCATCTCTGCTACGTTTCTCGAGCAAACCTTAACAAAACTGTATTTTGTTCCCAATGGTTGTTCCACAAACCCAATATGACGACTCTTTTAGCTTCGATGATTTCCAGAAAATCCTCACTCAGCCATATGTAAATCCGAACTTTCTTGCACCAGCCAATGCCGAACTTAATGAGTTCTATATGGATCCTTCATTCACCAACACCGAAGCAGTCGAACAAGTAGCGGTGGGCCAGTTGTTTCCTTGTACTCAAGGCCTTCCATTCTTGAATTCTTTGCTGCTGAGGCCTATTTGCGAAAAAGGTATTTGCACTTGGCCTAAATCTGATGTTGTTTTTCGTAGATGGCATGCTCGCCTTGTGGGCCATGGTCCTACCAAGGCAATTTTTGATCGTGTTAGGATTTCTGATTTATTAGAAATCTCTCTTTAACCCCCAATTTTTGACCCAAAACTTTTTCCTATTGCTTTAAGTTTTTGGTCTTCTGAATATAATACTTTTGTTTTCCC